ATGCCCGCCCTTTCCCTACGACGGAGTCTCGTCGCGCAATACCCACGATATCATCACGGTTATGTGAGTGAGCCTGATGATAACCTCATTCTTGCCTATACTCGTCGTGCGAGAGACGATGGTGCATGATGCGTACGCTTTCGTGTACACGCATCTCGTAACCTTGAAGCGCGCAGCTTTATTATACGCGATATCTCTGGCAAAAGATGCGCATCTCGTGAGCCTCTAGATCTCTAGCGATTTGAAAAACGCGAATCATACCTCCCTCTGCGTCATCCTCTCTCTTTCTTACTTTCTGTTTCTCTCTCTTTCTTTTTTTCTTTCCTCCGTGCTTCTTCGCGAGCGTCACGCGCTCTGCGTAGGTCTTCGCGCGAATTCTCGCGGCATGTTACACGGATCGTAATATAGACGATTCTTGAATACGAAATCCTTGCACTCATTGTCAGAGCCAGAGCAGAAATTGTTATCGTCTCCCTGTGCGTATTGCGTAATATAATGTAACTTGAACATTAGCTGTGTGAAAAAAGGCTGGCTTACACCTTTTGCATCTACTTGCTATGGTATCTTTTATACTTAAAAATTAATGATGAAATCAAATAGAGATATGTATTCAATAAATATCAATTCAATATCTATATAATTTTTTCTTCTGGAATTGTTTAATTTCGTCATATTATATATAGATATATGAATTCTCTATCTGGATTACTAAATTTGTCATATAATTATATAATTAGATATATATATTTACATATTACATATTTGTAAATTTATATTCTTTACAGTCATTTGTAAGAAAAATGGCAACAAAGGTAACAGATTTTATACCACAATCATCGTGGATTAGTAAGTGGTTCAATCCTCTCCAAGGTAATGAGGATGCATTAGAGAGTAGAGAGAATATCGAGGAAACGGGAGATGATACCCAACAGCCTCCTCCTAACAAGCGATCACGTATTTGTATGGATACTATTCATCCACCTGGCACATTTTCTATACAAACAAGAACTAAAAGTGCATTAAACACGATTGAGCATTCTAAGGAGCAATTTCCTGTTCATAATGAGGATTTTTCGGAACTTGCAATGGCTGGACCAAGTGGAATAGGCCGTTTAATATCTTCGACTCCTGCAATGCAAGCAGACATTAGGACTGTAACGTCACACAAATCTGATTTAAATTTAGCTTCATCAATTAATAATGGGATAATGAATGGAATTGATGATAATTCGGAGTCAAGTGAAAGTACCAGTGGATGCAGTTCACTTATTCCACAAATAAATAGACACGAAGGCCCATCAAATTTATACAATTCAACATTTACCAATAGAAAGAGACACATTGATGATAAACTGACATTTAGTGAGTGTAAATTGCACACTACATATGGAGTTACTTAAATGCATAATATAAGTTGTGCTAAAAGTTTGCAGTCAGTTTAAAACTATTTTTAAAGAATATGTTAATATATGTGTATACTCTATATTTATGTAAATTTTATATTTTTGTTTCAGCTAATCATTTACAATCTCCAAGATCCTTGTTTTTAGACAGTAATTCTCGCGATACTTTAAGCAGTCGTAGACCAAGTTTTAACGCATCAGTTATGACAAATGTTCTAGACCGCACATCTCCTCTGTCCTCCCCTTTTTATAGTGGTAATATCACTTTTGGGGGTGCAAATGCAGCAGGTTTTTACAAGCAAAGTCGTAATGTTTTTAATAATTCAAGTGAGGTATGTCATTCAATTATTTTTTATATTAAAGTTTGATTCTTTATACTTCCAATTACAAAGATCATTTGTTGTTGATATAATAATTTATGTTGATCCATTTTTATTAATTCCAGTTACAACTTAAAGTACCAAGGAGGACGAATGTTGAAGTTCAACCTTCCAATGCAGTAGATGATTCTTCGGGTATGAGCCAAACTGCAAAAAAAATATTGGAAGCATTAGAACATTTTTCGTCACCTATATCTGATGCAAAGAAGATTCCATTAAAAACCCCAAATAATACTTTATTGTCGGTAATGAGCAAAAAAAGGGCGCGAGAAGAAGTAGCGAACCCATCTGCTAGGGTCGGCTTGCGTCATTTGACGCGCGAATTGACAGTACCAATCGTTCCCGATATATTGAAACTAAGAAGACGACAAAAATTACAAGATACAACCCTTGCAGCTAGGAAAATTGTATCTTCTCGCAGTGATCCACCTCCGCCTCCACAGGAATATTGTTTGAGGTATTTATCAAATGTAATTTTATATACTTGTTCTTATCTGGATTTTCAGTAAATCAATAATATTTTAAATCTGCTTTTCTTCTCTAGGATGGATGATGCTGATAATGAAAAGTATCGTGGCAAGCTGAAAGGCAAATCTAAAATAAATCTGGAACAAGAAGAAACAGTGGCACCTGTAAATTTGCCGAATGTACCTCTACCAATAACAACGTTACCCAATTTCAATTTTACGCTACCATTTCCTGCTTTACATTCTGCAGGAAAAACTATAGCAAATAAAGAAAACACTTTCACATTTGCTAGCCCAATTAAAATACCAGATGTTGAAAAAAATTTTCAATCTGTCAACAATTACACTTTTAGTAATCCAATCAATACTGATGATAGCACAAGTAAAACAAATGATTCGAGCTCTTGTTCGATAATAGAGAATATTGGGTCTACTGCATTCTCCTCCACTGATAGTACGACCACGTCTATGCCGAATTTTATTTGGTCCAGCTCGTCTACAGCGCCTAGACTAAAACCAAAAATAAAAAACAACAAGAATGATTTTGTCGAATTTGCGGTAGCGCATGAACAAAAGTCGGAAAGTGTTATGAATGTATCGTGCTCCAAGTCTAACAAAATAGAATCTATTTTAACTGAACAGTCAAGCTCGGGATTAGTTTCTGAAACGACACATACGGATAAGATTGCCAGTGCATCTATCAGCCCAGATTCAGATATCAAGAATACACATGATACCATGTTGTCTTGGGAGTGTAGTGAATGTTTGATCAAGAACAGTGGCACAGACAAACAGTGCACTGCGTGTCAAGTCGCTCGATCAAATCCTAATGATAAAACTTTGTCAACATGCTCAACATCAACGACGGATACTGTCGTAAAGTCGAAACCAGTCGCAGACGATTGCTTCGGCTCTCAATTTAAATTATCTACAAATCAATGGGAGTGTACAACATGCTGCATAAGAAACAAGCAAAGTGATGTCAAATGTGTAGCATGCTCTGCGCTAAAACCAGGAAGTAATACAGATGCGATACAGCAAACTGTCAAGTCTCAAAACTATGATCTAATGGAGAAGTTTAAACCGGCTGAAGGATCATGGGAATGTCATGGCTGCTTGTTAAGAAACGCTCCGAACGTTATTACATGTCCTTGTTGTAATGCATCTAAACCTACTTCCATAAGAACAAACCTAAAGAAGACAGATACTGTTACAGAATTATCATCACAAAAATCGAACACTGATGATACAGACAACATGGCAATACAGGAAACAACATCTAATAATTACCAAATAATGGACAAATCACCTAAACCTACTTCCATAAATACAAACACGAAAAAGACAGATACTGTTACAGAATCGTCCTCACAGAAGTCAAACACTGTTGATACAAACAACACAGCAATGCAGGGAACAACATCGAGTAATAACGACTTAATGAACAAATTTAAACCAAGCAAAGATTCCTGGGAGTGTCCAGGGTGCCTTGTGAGAAACAACAACTCTATTACTACCTGTCCTTGCTGTAGCACCTCTAAACCTAATTCTCTTGGTGGACCGAGCAACGCAGACCAGACATCGACCAATGGATTTGGAGACAAATTTAAAAAGCCGGAAGGTTCGTGGACTTGCGATTCTTGCTTGCTACAAAATGACGCAAACCATACAGAATGTGTGGCTTGTCAAGCTTTGAAGCCTGGTACTGTAAAATCAAACAAACCTGCATCGAGCACTAGCTCTACTTTGCAGTTCAAATTTGGTGTACCATCTAATACGTCAAACTTAGCTAACCAACCAAGTGGCTTTAATTTCGGCATAGATAAAGCTGATAATCACTCTAATTCTGATACTGCATCTCCCTTAAATGGATTTAAATTTGGTGCACAGCAAGTAATGCATAACACTTCCACGAATGCAACGACTACTTGTCTTCCAACTTTTGCTCAACCTACTTTCACATTTTCCCATTCAAAGACATCTCAGTCAGCCACGATACCAACTTTCGGCCAAGTTCCGACATCATCCGTCGCATTATCTACGAATCTACCGTTTGGAGAAAACAAGTTAGCTGAAACATCCACTTCGTCGTCTAATAAATCCATAAGTGATACACCAGCTGGCTCTTCCCAATCGTGTCAAGTTCAACGTCGATCTTCAACAATAATGAATCGAAAACGTCGATAGCATTCGGCACGGATAAACCGACATTTGCTACAACAGACAGTAGCAAGTCATCAGGATTTGCCATGCCCGAGAAAATTCCATCATTCGGCAGTAACACGCAAGATAGTAAGCCATCAATCTTTGGGACGCCAGAAACGAAATTACCCGCTGTATTTAATTCACCCGCGGTAAATCCTCTACCGACGTTCGGCATACCGTCCAGCAGCAGCACTACTCTGTCGCTCTTTGGATCATCCAATAATTCTGCAGCTTTCGGAAACAACACTACGCCCGCTTTTGGCGGCACCGCAACGACGTCCGCTACTCTATTCTCATCTACTAAGACCAGTGTCGAAACTAACCCAGCATCGAATTCTTTATTTAAATTTGGCTCGGCATCGTCACAGCAACCAGCGACAGGCAGCGGATCTCAAACGAAATGAACACTCGACTTTTTAAATAATTATTTTATTGTACTTAGATTTGTAAATTATGTATGAATTATGGTATGGAACATAACACAATCTCTAGCTGCGACATAAATGCGAACTCTATTGATTTAACTCTGTCGATGGCATTATTCATCACATTTCCATAGATTTTAGATGATATTTCATTTACGACATCATTTAAGTAAGTATATTAACTGGAAATTCGTCATTATATACAGGATGGGTTAAAAAGATTAACTTTTTTGTGACTCAAACGAAATGAACACTCGACTTTTTAAATAATTATTTTATTGTACTTAGATTTGTAAATTATGTATGAATTATGGTGTGGAACATAACACAATCTCTAGCTGCGACATAAATGCAAACTCTATTGATTTAAACTCTGTCGATGGCATTATTCATCACATTTCCATAGATTTTAGATGATATTTCATTTATAGCCTCACGAATATTATCCTTCAATTAGTCAAATAATTGGCTTGTTCATAAATAATTGCTCATGTATTTTTCTTTTGAGATATCCATTAAAAAAAAGCTAGCGCCATTAAATCGTATAATCTGAGTGGCCACTCAATGTTGCCAAATTTTGAAATTAATTGATTTAGAAACATTTTCCTCAAAATTTTCATCATAGCTAGTCCAAATACAAAACATCACACTGTCACTTTACGAGAACGTAAAAATCACTGATCAATTAAATGTAGATTTTTAATAAAATAATACTGAATGATATTTTCCATGAATCGATATTTTCCAACTGGTTATTTTATTTGTCGACAAAAGCACTGAGATCAAAATGTGCCTCATCACTCATAATGATTTTCTCGATAAAATATGGGTTGTTTTCAAAAAGCTGCAAAATTAAATTACTGTGTTCCTGACATAATTCCCAAGTCTAAATAAAGTAATTATCTAAAAAAAATTGTTTTTTATTTTCTTCAAGAATCATTCATAAATTGCGTAAAACCAATTGTGTTCTCTCTACAAAAAAAAAAGAAATGTAAATTATAAATTATTTAAATTATACAGTAATAATGAAAATAATACCCTGGAGTTGGCATGAAGCCAGTGAAAATCGTGATGCCATTGCATTACTAAGACCTTACCAAAAAAGAAAAAAAAAATCAGACATGGTGCGTATGTACCAACATAACGTACTCAAGATACCATACATATTTACCGAAATTGAAAAATACCTCGATAAAGAAAACTTAAAATAAGCACTTAACATGTGCAATCGAAGATTAAAAACTAGTGGGAGATTGTCACCCGCTCAGGTAAGTATAAGTCAGTCACAGCTCGTAGCATTGTTATTTGTAAAAGAACCTTGATATATGCTAAACTTATTCGGAAAAAATATAAATTTAAAAGCACAAGTATAAAATAATTTTATTATTAAATGTTATACACGGAGTAGAGAGGACAGCTAAATATATAATTACATTTGAATATTTTTGACATATTTGAATATAAGCAAAGATTCCTCGAGAAAAAAAAAACAGAGAAATTTGAGGGGACAAATATAATAATTCTCTCTCATATAATAATTTAAATAAATTAAGATAGTTTTTATATTATTTCATAATTTTATTGTATTTGATTCTTTAAATACTGTGTGTAATATTTTATTGAGGAATTTATTTAAGTGTTTATTAAAAGCATGTTTAGCTGCCTTCTATATAGTTTTTTGTTAAAATCTTTAATTTTTCTATGTGTATGCATTACAATATCTTCCATTTAATGAGAGTTGTACTAATTATTAAAATAATCTTTCTTATAAGATTCTATCTGTAATTAAACGATCACCTTAGTGTCGTTGTCATCTTTGAAAATGTCCATGTATGTATGGACAGTCTAAAGACATAAAATATCGTGACATTGCGCACGAACATTGTGAACTGACTATATATCAATAAAATCCCACTATATACACATATATACGCATACACGCGCATTAATTATATTTTAATTAGAATTTCGTGGACAGCCCTACACAATCTTTGTAGAGAACTAGTCCAGGAAAAGTGTAATATACACAAAAATGGCATTCGGATAGTACAAACTGACGATTACTGAACGTTTCCATTGAGTAGTCGAAATTGTATATTTTTTTTATATATTGAATGAAATAATCCTATAAGAAAATACTGAATGCCATTTTGATAGAATTATATTATAATGTGTGTTTTATCATAGAATGAGTGAAATAAATTCAAAAGAAGGATATGTTGAATGGGAATAATTATTACGGGGCTTCTAAAGAGTTTCTTTCTAAAATTTTATAAAATATATAATTCTTTCGTTTATCGGGCAAATTTCTGAATCTTTTTCTGATTATATATTAGTTTTCAATTATTATTATCAATACGTGCTTATATGTATACTAGAGTGACATAAATAAATAAACATTTGATTCAATTTAATATTAAAAATTTGATCAATATACTTCTTTCTATCAATTTATATATTAAAATGTCTATTTTAATATATAAATTGATGGGATGATTTCATTTATATCATCTGAGATATCATTAAAACAAAGCCAATCAAAATTGAAAACTTTTGGAAATTTTCTTCATTGTTTGGCTATTGCAAATAATATTATTAATAAGTTTATGTACTATTAATACGCATTATGTATTATTTATACATATTACGTATTATTTATACGTAATAAAAAGTAAAAAAAGATAATTCTAATGTGTTGACCTTTTAAACATTCGAAAAATGTTTCCATTTAGTACTTAAAGAGAGTTTATGATTTAAAAAAGAGTGATTAGGTATTTTTTTTTTTTATAAAATATCTTTATAATGGGATACATAATTCATACTCAAATAATGAATAACTTTTGTAAGTGCAATTCCTTAGAATGACATTAATTTATGACACTAGTTTTGGAACTTTACTACTTTAATAGCTGAAACTGTAAGCTATTCTTTTTAGAAGTCCCTAAAGTGGAAAGTAGTTAGATGGCATATAATAATGATTAATGGATCATTATTGAAATCATGCACATCTTATTTAAGATTAGACTAGTTGTGTACAATGTTGGCTTAGATCTGACAGTAGCCAAAAATAACTCGGCACATGACCCATCTTATGCCATATTAGACATCTAGGTACAAAACATTCTGTTAATACGTTGTTATTTATCTCTGTTGTTATATAATATTTACATGTAAACACATTGAGAGACTTTTTAAGTTCTATACATTATTAAGAGACAAAAATTCATAATAACTTCTTTATGTTAAGCACTTGTATTTTTAACATTGTCAAAATACCCTTTGTAGGTATATTTTCCATTTAAGATGTAAACAGTGTTAATTAAATATGTAATACACTAGCTAATATGGGTGATTTTAAGAAAACTTTCCTGTGATGCAACTGAAGATCAAGTTAATCTCCAGTAATGATAAATAATTAATAATTTAAAAATTAATTCGGGATTAATATATAGAGGGATAAAATTGTTTTAGTTTTTAAGAGAAAGCAACTCATACCGAACAACCTACAAAGGATTTTTTGGACATAACTAAGTGACTCTGTTTTACATGATTACAAAACAAAGGTATTGTAATTAATGGTAGAGTGAGGCTGCGCTGAGATATGTCTGTGCTGCTGTCTTACACTGTGAACATTCTCTGTTGAGGCTGTGTCGTCCATTTGTCTATGAATAGACAAATTTCCAAATTAATATATCGAATATATTGCCTATGAAAAGGCAATATCTTTATATTAAATTTCGCGTATATATATGGCCTTATAAATACATAATGAACGTATGACGTAGATGTATTAACGACTATAAGGCAAATCGTATTGGACTTGTTTTATAGCTTTATATGCTCTCCATTCTAATATGTTTGCATAAATATCCGAAGAGTACTGCATTAAAAACGTTCAACAATAGATATGTAACATCTTATGAATGATGGAATTTCTCACTTTGATATCCACATATTTTTATTGGATTGTAATATTACCATGTGTGTATTATTATATATAAAATCATTAGTATTATTATTGTGTTGACAACTGAAAAGAAGATAGTTTTAATATGTTTTTCTTGACTACATATGATGTTCTTAGTACAAATCTTTTGCTAATAAATCAACTATATATTTTTTTTTGTATTAAAAAAGAATGTATATGTGAAAATTTATGTTTTTACATTAAAAATTATATAAAATCTTTTCGTTATAAAATAACAATGAAAGCTATGTATCTTAAAATGTGTCGTATTATTGCCACATTGGTTAAAGGATTGATTACTTCGTTTAGAATCTGAAAACAAAAAGATTTATATTTTTAGAAAGTGCATGAATGGAATTATAAAAATATACGTATAAATTAAAAAAAATAGAACATTATTGCAAAATTATTACAAGCTGCTGATAAAATGAAATTTCGCCAAAAGAAAAGGGCAAATTTTGAAGCTTTTCTTGCGCATAAAATATGTAAAAATATCCGCGTATACGTGTGTTAAACGATAATTATATTCATATAGAGTCTATAAAAAAATACATATCCTTTTTATTTCAGATTATCTTTATCGAAGTATAATCTCTGAGATAGTACGACAATAGCATGGTAAGATGTATAGTTTTAATATACATCACTATTTTTGAACAAAATTACATTATATATTTATATAATTTTATATATAAAGCATTCTCTTAAAATATATATAATCTATATATCAACAAGATATTTTTATTAAAAACATTATCTTGTCAAGAACATTCTTTTTCTTTCTTTTCGGATTTTTATTGGATTCTTATTGTGACATTTACACTTTAATAGAGATGTTAAAATTTACAATGATTGTTTTTGTGTTGTATTTTTATGCGCCATGGGATGTTACAACATGTCAAATATTCCGAGGCCTTATTATAATCTTAGTCCATTGAAAATCATGCATTGTATTGAATTTTTCTAAATATCTGTAATGATTCTATCAAAGATGTATTAAGCAATTACCTAATGGGATTCAGAAATGAGGGAGTTTGTTATGAAATAAATCCAATGACTGACTGTAATTAAATAAAATAATATGTAGGAGAATGTTCACTGTATGCTTCAGGTGCTATGGGAATGTCGTTGCATTCTCATGACATGATATAACATTAGTTAATATTATGAAAAGCACATCGGTGTTTCTCAACCGATGAATCATAGAACAATTCGAAAGCGATTTGTTATAATATGTAATGCAAAGTGTATAAAAAAGCCATCTTTATTCGTACAAGCAAAGTTGACAAAATACGCTAATAGCGCGGTTGAATCTCACCTTTATCTTTTTTATTATTATTATTATTATTATTGCATCAAAAATGTATATACAATATCTTCAAATCTGTAAATTTTATTTCTTTAAGACGATACATTAAATACATTTGATTTTACAGAATATACAGGTAAAATGTAAGCGATGTCAATAATACTCGCAATAATAACAACAACAACAAATATATATATATATATATATATATGAGGAATTCTTTTGTGGACCAGAAAAATGCAAAGAATAATTGTTACTGTTTCGATTCTTTATCTTTATTGAATAAAGGTGACATCAAGTTGCCTTAATGGATAGCTCTTGTAACACTCAGGAGCTACTTGGAGCTTGTGTTGAGAAACACCGTGATAGATACGTTAACATTATTACGAATACTATTCTTAATACTAATCTCTGTTTATCTATAATGATTATATAATTATGCATATAATAATTATATAATTATCTAACTATGTGTATAATTATATATATGATTATACACGTAATAATCATGTAATTATATAATTATATTAGGATAATATAAAAAATACTAAAATTAAAAACGACGAGGTTAATTAATTTTTTGGTTATAGTTTTATTTCATATTTAGGAAAAAAAAGTATATAAAGAGGGCATTTAGTAAAATGATTTGAACTAAAGAATTTTATATAGCTTGTGCACACACACATATATACACATATTATAATATACAATAAAATAATTAAAAATTATTAATTCTCTGGTATACAGAAGAAAAATTATAAAAACATGTGCAAATCCATATTAAAATTCTTTGGGTCGAAAAATAATCTAGAGATGGACATAAATTTACAACATAAATTCGGTCGCTTTATTCCAATGTTCAAGATAAAGTATATTTTATGGGATGTTTTTTTTTTTTTTTTTTTTTTTTTTTGTCATTTTGTTTTAATCCTGTAAGTAGTAGGATTGCTCCTTGACAGTTCCTCAAAGAAATATACAAAATAAGAGATAAATATTGTGAATTATTGTATCACATTCGTGGTTTTCGACAATATATACACATATATATACACACACACACACATATATATCACTCTACAAACTGTTATAATGATCTATTTCAAAAGATAAGATAATTTTCAACAATACGATACGCAAACAATTCGTTTTGGACATTTTTCAGTAGAGTATGAATCATTTAATATATTCCTTCCATTTCTTGCAGAAAATATATATGTATATTCTGCAAGAAATGTATATATACAATTCAATTAAATAAGTTACAGTAAAAAATGTTCGAAATACCTCATTAAAGGATTCCTTAACAATATAGTCCCTTACATAACAATTACAATTTGCGTTATTATTGACTATTCCATATACAGTACAATGTTTATCCAACAACACATCAAGATTATGAATATAACAGATTATCCTTATTTGTTTTTTCATTTAATATATAGTTATGTAGGAAATTACAAATAAAGTAAAACAAATTATCTGTAATTGTAATATAAAAAATGCATATGTTTATTTTTTAGATCCACAGTTTTGATACAATAATATGTTCTTACTAACTCAAAAAATTTGACATACATAAAATTTTGTCATTCGCAAATAATAGTACTCACTCTGATTCTGCTATTTACACGTTAAGAGTTAAATGATGGCTATTTAATCTAAAGATTTCATCACTGCTATATACTTTTTAATTACATGATGTAAATAGAAGAGCATGTATATAACAATATATCAATACATGCTCAGCGATGATACATTCTATTATGTCAAGAAACCCTGTGTAATAAAATGATTGGAGATCGAACACAAATCTGGATATAAAACATATAAATCCCTATTGTATTTTTAATGTATTTAATGTAAATTTTTAAAAATAATTCTTAACAAAAAAAGAATTCGGGAGATTAGGTAAGTGAGACTATGGCGATAAAGAACTGTATTAAAACTTGTGGCACGAATTTTATTCCGAGATTTACAACAAAAATGTTTCAACTAGTTAAAATGCCGCTTAATCTGGGGATATGAAACATTGACACGTATAACATAGGTAAATACAAGACGATGTGGACAATTCAGATATACAATTCAGCAGTTTGCATTGAACTGATAAAATTGATTCGTTTTTCTATTCACTTAGTGTTGTGTTTGCGACTTGGATAGGCCTGCTGTGCTTCTCAGAGAGGTGGATTCACTAATAATAAATTTATTCATTAGTTAAGACTCATTGGCTGTTAACTGGAACAGCCGATCCTCTCTGAGCAGCCCATGTTCATTTGCTATTATATCACTTCTATTACGATATTATAATTTAGGTACAATCTTAATTATTCAATATTAATGAGAATATTAATAATCATGTTTTATTTTTGCTTGAATTATAGATTTTAATTATAATTATTTTATAAAGATTCTTACACTAAGAATCATCAGACATGAAGGAATTTTGGGATTTTAATTCCTCCAGTGTTCGAATTTGTTGACGGAGGAATAATATCCTAAAATGACAAATAAATAAACGAGATAATATAAAGAGTTAAGAGAACGTTTGTATTGTTTTATGTAGCACTTATTAAATGGTCGATAACGGGATAAATGAGATACTTACCTTTGTTCCTGCAACGTTGCCTGGATTTCTGTCAGCCTCACTATCGATCGTGCCGTTTTCAACTCTGCAGACACTCTCGTACATTGTAAACTGCCCATTGTGTGTGCTTCCTCACTAAGTTTCTGTGCCTGAACAAAATTATTTAATTAATTAATAAGAAAAAATTCTTCAGTAACATCAAGAATCTTTATCTAAGAAATCAGATTTCTACCTGTTTTTCGAGAATATCGGCGGGAAAGGCACGCACATGTTGCGTCAAATCTTCCCGATAATGATTAGCGAGCGATGGTGTTAAAGAAGGTGTTAGGGGAGGCTGCACTCTAGATAATGCCTGTAAACCTCCTGTATTACTTAAATTCCCAAGGGACCCTAGTGTACTGAGACTCTGCAATGAACTCAGCCCTTGTACTCCGGAATTTGTTCCCCCAGGACTCGTTACTATAAAAAGACGAAGACAATATATATTTTTTAAAAATGTTTGGAAATAAAAAAAGAATATTTATGAAAGTAAAGGATTTTAATTTTAGTATCTAGAATATATTTGTGAGTATATGCATGTTTGTGAGTGTATTTATGTATACACATTATGTATTTCTTTTTCAGTTTAAATCTTTTATTAATTTTATGATTCTTACTGATGTCAATAGAACCAAGCATTACATTTTACTTGATTAACCAGCTGTTCTAAATTTAATTTTGATATTATGAAAAAAGGCAAAATAAGTACATCATGAAAAAATCTTGTAATAAAAATTTATGATTGTGATTTTACAAATACCATAAAAAATGCGAAGTGGGTATTTATTTGTGAAATAAACTACATAAACTATACAATGCTAAATGATTTAAGTACTGAGCAAGATAAAGGCAGATCGAACATAAAGACTAACAAAATGCTATTATCTTATTGATATAAGTTTAAAAAAGAACTTACATTTTCGCGCGTCAATGCAATCCTGGGTTTCTGAATGTGTAGGAGTAGGTGGACCCTCGCTGGTAATATTGCCACTTGTATCAACTTTTAGTGGAACCATCACATCACTTCCACTATTACTTCGGTCTCCACTAGCAGACTGCTACATAAAAGCGAAAAGCAAATAACATTATGGGTGTCGTTCGTGTATGTTCAAAACAAGGAAAGATATTATATTGTATTGTCCAAAAAACCTAGATATACTTTTGATTATAACTATTAAAGACTAAAAATGCTAAAGAAAAAGATCACCAGCATTATAATAATGCTTGAGCATTGATAGTGTTTTTAAAATTAAACAGTGCCGACAAATAATAATCTAAATTAATAACAAAACTCTACGTTTGTAATTTTAACTAAATTATTTAAAATGAAAATATAAAGTTTAATTATACATATGTATATATATAATTATTATATATAGAAGATTAAAAACATATGAAACAATATAATTTTTCCCGAAACTCTGAGCAAAGATAAATCTCATATTTAATAGAGTTGATAAAAAGACATTTAGTAAGTGTTAGACTCACTGTATATTAAAAAAAAAATAAATAAATAAATAAATACTTTTTACGTCATATATATTTGCATGCGTTGCTGGACATGAAGATATATAACACGTTATTCATATTAGCAAAGCTCAAGCGATCTTATTTTCTTACTTGTCGAGATAGCAAGATGGCTGTTTGAATTGTCTGTAATGCTTTCTGTGGAGTGATATCTGGTTGTTCTTTATTGCCGGTGATTTGCGATAGAAGTTTCGGGAGATTTGCCAGTGACACCGGTGGTCCTGGGGCGTTACTGTTTCCCTGTTGTTGCGTGGGCGAACTAAGTTTTCCAGCAGCCTGCGGTGTTGTTGACGGTGGATGTGATGTTAATCGAGGTAATGCTGACAAGAACACAAAATAAACAATATTAAAAATTTCTACAGATCATATGAAATGTTAAAGCTCGAAAAAATATAATATATATGCACATCTTAAAAAATAGTGATTTTAGAAAGAAATGTTTGAGACAAATGTAAAAGAAGCTTCCAAAAAATTATAATGTAATTAAATTACAAAATTGATTATCGTTACAATATTCGAAAATAATATCCAGAATATGAAATCCAATCAATTCTTTTATTTCAAACCTTATATTTTATAAAATTATTTTTCTAAAATTAATATCTAGAGAAGGAAATAATTACTATATTTACATGCCTCGTTTTATAAATGTAAAGAACGTACCAGTGGCCAAGAGAACAGGGCCCTGTGGCAGTGGATCGTGAGCGCAGGATGATGTCACGGGTTCCGAAGTAGGTGTGGAATCGCCTGGTGAGATATCCATATCCTGGGCCTGACGTTCCACACTAGCTTCCTCTCTACAGGATTCTCTTTCTCGTTCGCGTTCTCGTTCCCTTTCTCGTTCCTTTTCCCGTTCCCTTTCCCTTGCTGAAGCATCTTCCCTGTTACTGCTACTGCTACTCCCGCCACACGCGCTCCAGTATTCTCGTTTGTCAGACTGTCGCGACGATTTACCATCTCGCACACTGCTACTGCTATTCGATCGCGAGTTGGAATGTTTATCATGACCTATGCAGAAAAATTTCAGATTTTGAAAACATACATTTGATATAACGAAGCCAACGAAAATTGCTTTATACCAATATTAAAAATATTAATTGTGTGTGTGAAATATGGATTTAATATAATTGTTCCTCAATCTTTTTAAAAATAGCATACAAATTTAATATAAATTTTTTTGTTATTCAAATCAATGAACATAGTGTAACAAAACAAATCATGTATTATGTATATTTTAATTCAAGATGGTAATAATGAAGGTAATAAATTCATATTACATTCATAAAAAGAGTTTTTTATAATGTGTCTAAATTATAAATATAAAATATCCATCTCACACAAAAAGACCTATAATTTATTGATTCATTTCTTATTTTAACATAGAATTTGTTTTATTCCATATTTCTTTCATTTTATATCTAATTTTCATTCACTATTTAATATTTTAGGCATATTTAATAATTAAGAAAATTAAGTACATACTTGACCTAGAAGAATAGTCACTAGACTGGCGTTGACGATTATCAGTCCGATTGATCCACTCCCGTGGTTTTTCCCACTGAGAAACTTCTGTCTTGCAATTGTAGTAATACTTCTTTCCTGATGAACTCATGTGTTCCGACCAATCTCCAAACCTTGCTGTACGTTCCATTGCACCTCCTCGCTCATCACCACGTTTATCCTAAACAGACTGTTCTAAAATTTCTGGAAACGATTGAATAGATGGAAAGTATTTACATTAATTCCAAAAGTAGTTCGAAAAGTTGAAGTGATATTCGTCCATATTCTTGAGGTTATTATCATATTGTGTGTATGATTATCACATTTTTCACAGATGCACACACAATAATTTTGTAAATTAAAATAATAAATAAAAATTTTTATAGAAACTCTTTCTCAGCATGTTGATATATAACAATTAATTTTAAATTTTTAGTGGATTGATTAAATGTACATTAATTATGCTACTATCATGAATAGGTAAAAAAGTAAATAATATTATTTTATCTTTTATATAAATTGGAAATTTGGAATTTATGATTAATACGCACTAATATAAATAAATATAATTATAAGACACTGACCTGACAGGAATTATGTGATGGTTTTCTCTGGGATGAAGATTCTCTTGATGAATTTGATGATAATTTTATGGGATGTAAGATCTATATATAGAGACGTAAATAAATATTATTTTTCATAATAGTGCGTGCCTTGCAAATAAGATACATTTAACCCAATAAAGACACGCAATATTCTTATATGCATATTAAAAATGCTTCTCTTTTAAAAAGGTTTTAAATATATTTGTAGATACTAAATTTTTCTTTTTAGGACTGTGACCATACACGAATTATCTAACAGTCCATTGGTACACAAAAAGAAAGGGAAATGTTTTTTGTAAAATCAGATATATTATAAATGTATACACAAACACACACGTACATGCCAAAGAAATATATATCTATTTTGCATTATATATATATATATGTTATATAAAAACTGCATATATATTTGCAGTTTATACATATTTAAAATCTTCCAAAAACAAAAAATTCTTGCACCTTAAAAATTGCTAGCTCTCTCTTAATATATTTCATATTATAAATTTAATTTAATAATATTTAATTAAATTTCATGCTTATCATATACAGTAAATAAAAAACAGATGAATGTTTAATAAATGAAGATTGATCATAGATTTAATGTAACATTTACTGTATCATAATATTTGTTCTTTTTAGTTTTGAAGTAGTTTCGAGACATCATAATATGATTGTCATATATCAGGCTCAGAGAAATTACCTGTCTTATAATCATATTTTTTAAATTATAATAATCATTAAATTATATATTAATATAGATACATACCTCCCCACTACTCCTATCATGGTTGGTCCTGTGTTCCGAATCCCTGCTCTCACGGCTTCTCTTGTCTTTTGGGGATCGTGCACAATCTACACATATGCAAGCAAGCATGTTACAGCTGAAAATGTTAAGAGATAATTTTGTTTTTGTACTGAAAAAAAAAAGAGAAGGAGATGAGATTCTAGACAAATAAAACAAGGATTGTTATATTTACATTATAACACAATATCATTTACTTATACTTTATACATAACAATTGCTATATACAACAGTGTATATATTCAACAATATTCAAAAATATTATGCTTTTCTTGCTACATTTTTTTATCTACTTTAGTTTTTACTAAATAAAATATGATTCTATTTAGTAAAATATTGAGAGAGAAGATAGCAAAACAAAAGTTATTTACCGGAATACTTGTCCCTAGAAGAGGATAATTTATAGTCTCTATTTTCTCTCTCCTTCTTGTAAAGAGGCTTGGATGTGTAATTCCGAGGGCTGTCCCGGTCCGTCCCCATGCCCATTCCCAAGCTGCCTGCTGGACTGTAAGAGTTACCATTTGGAGAATCGCGCATACGCCCCTCGTAGCGACCATCCGACGATGTGGTCGAGGAGGAATAGCCACCCTTAGAACTGCTGTACTTTGCGTTCTATAATCAGATTATTAACAATATAAACAAGAGATTATATAAATAATTCAGGTACAGAAGATTGCTTACTTCTAGAATTGCTTTTCTCATCGTGTATATACAAGATTATTATTAAAAATGTTATCAAACATTATAGGTTCAACTTCGGAATAACTGTTTTGGTTTAGTGGTCTGCAAGGATCTGTATATATGAGAAAGCATTGTTATGGTAAAAGTGAAATTAAATATCGATAGTTTTATAAAACCTTTGATTCTTCTACAGAATTCATCGGCTATGTTTCTATAGAATCGCCAGTGATTATTATTCACCTACTTATTTTTATATTTCTCATGTTAATAAAAATTATAACACGAGTACTTCTTAATATTACATCATAAAAATAAATATTTTGAAGAATATTGGAAACTTTTTTTTCCAAGTCCAAAGAAACTAACAGACAATTTCACGATTATTACATTTATAGTAATTAGAGATATATCAAAATGCTGAAAAAACTATCGAAACGAGAAGAAAACTGGGATGAAATATTTAATGAAATAGCACTTAAATATTCTTGAAGCACATTTATCTGCTAGAATAAATTATTGATTTTTTGAAAAGTGAGGTTATGTTTACAAGATTAGCAGGCATTCTTTGATATCAGACGTAAAAACAATTGGCGATATTCTGATTAATTACTATTCTTCTCATCTCGTATGATTAAATTCAAGTAACGATACGCGAGCATGCATACTTAATTGTTAATTTTACTTAGCATAAATGATATATGAATCAAGAGAGAACACCACAATCAATTAATGAAAAAACCATGGAAAGTCCTCTCTACAATTAATTATTAGTTTAATCATAATTTTACCCAAAGTATCTAAACATGAATTATTATTCGAATCGCGATGACACGTCTAATGGAACGAACACGTACATACATATCCATGGAAACATTGCCATTCGCCGAAATGTCACTTGTCAAAGCTGAGATTCTTCTCGTCTACCAAGCTCGTCGTCTTGAAACGCGCGGATCGAGCCTTGAGCACAATATATACATCAAATTGCCAGCGATTAAGCTAATCGAGACTATTCGATGTTGACCCGGTGAACGATCGAAGCTTACGTGCTGAGAGACCGAGAGAAAATTAAGATACCGAAAAAAAAAAAAAAAAAAAAAAAAAAAAAAAAAAAAAGAAGAAAAGAAAAGAAAAAGATAGAATCGTGACGAGACGACGATGAGCCTGACAGGACGAGTATACGTGCGGAAGAAAACCAAATAATTCTCGCGGGGAGATGAATGCGAGCGTCTGGATTTCGCCTCGATGAAACGCCGCGTCGTCGGGATGATGTGTCGTCGAGCGCGCGTTATCGATTCTACGTCCGCGACCGCGAGTTTTCCTTTGCAAGAAAGAATATAAAAAAAAAAAAAAAAAAAAAAAAAAAAAAAAAAGAGGGCAACGGCGGGCCGTCGTGCGTGTCCCGCCCGCTCGCGCGCGACCCGACGCCAGCTGAGAAACGAATACGAACTTTGATGCTCTCCCGCACGGAAGAGTGTTGTCACTGCGGCTCGTATCCTCCGCGCGAGAACCGGGACGATCTCATCTTTCTATCTTTCTCTTTCGTCGGACGCGCAACGACGCGTAATCGCGGGCGAAAATAATGCGTGCTGTCCGACGACGACGAAGCGAGGACGAGGACGACGACGACGACGACGACGACGATGACGAGTGACGTGAGGTTGCCTGTGTAAGAGAAATTCTTACACCCCCCTCCGTACCCCCGATCCATCAATCGTTGCGGCGGTAGCAGATATTATTTACCTGATAGGGATGGGCCTGGTGCTTTTCGAAGTACCTGGAATCATAAGACAACGAACCGTGAGTGAGGGAGGTCGTGGCGCGATGTCCGCCGCCGCGGTCGTTTCCACGGGGAACGGCGCCAGAACGGATTCCCATCGTTGTGGAAATTCGTGGAAACGTCGTACGGCGGATGAGTGGCAGTGAGTGTTACGATGCGTGTGTGCGGTTGAACGAGTCGTACGGACGAATGGACGGATCGTCGATGACGAGAGGTGAGGCGAGTTTAGCGGAGAGAGCGAGAGAGAAATATACAGACAGTGAGAAAGGAGTGAGCGGGAGAGAGAAAGAAGGAAGGAAAGAGAGAGAGAGAGAGAGAGGTTGGTCGTGTCAGTATCGGGTATTTGACGGCAGAGCCCTACCCATCGCTGATCCTTTGCGGTTTCCTCGCATGCATTACCATCAATGCCAGTGTCTGTGGGAAATTCGCGGCCTCGGATGTTCCCTTTTCGGTCGGTCAATGTCATAAGAACAACATTAACGCTTATTTAGCAGTTAACTTTCTTTCTACCCGGACGCCATGTCACATACGTGCTCGGCCGCTGCCGTGCGCGCCGGCATCCTAGACGAAGCGCTCGTGTCACGACGCGCAAGCGACCGACGATGGTGGGAGATGGGAGATTTCGGCTACATTCAGGGACGTGGAAGCATACACGGCCAATATCGTTCTTATAAAATCCATAAATATTATAATGGCGATAAACTAAACTTGTTTCGTTCACAAAGCACACACACAATTTGTTTTATATAAAATGTATAAATATAGCACGATAATATAAACATATCTAATGATGTGACATAAATCATAAAGTTTAATAATCCATATCGCACTTTAGTATTAAATGCAATTGTCAACGATGATTGTTAACATAAGACGTGTCGCGAACTGAATCATAATCTGTCAATTTTCTGCAAACACGCAATCACCATAAAAAAATTACGCTTTATTTTTACGAGAACGATCTGATTTAACTCTGAAAATATTTTCCGTAACGTCCAGCACACGCGAAAGAGAATTCTATTGCAAGTTACATAAATAAAATTGACACGTACCTGACCACGGATGTTTTGCGAAAATTCGCGCGATCTACATTCACGGCGGCGTTTCAGCAGACGACGACGCGAGGCACTGTGTTCCGTCGTTTGCGCCCGTACAATCATAGCCGCAAAGAAAGATCTTCGTATATGTAAAAAAAGTGCGTCGCGTGTGCTTTTGGCCGACAGATGGCGCACCGCGACCTGAGTATTATCCAGCGTTGTAAACGGGCTCCCGTTTTCGCGCATGCGCGTTGAATGTGGTATCACTGAAGTAGTTAAATCTTATGAAATGAGGTCCTGTGCATGACCCCCGTTTAATCGTTTTTAAAAGTTATTTAGAAGTTTTTGGTAATCATAAATAAAAATATGAAATAAAAAAATAATATGCGCACGAATTATATTATTAATTTATTTACTTACGTAACTACTTGACCCGTCCTTTGCAAAATCCCGCCAAAACTAAAGTACCCATCACATACGTGACTGTAATCGCTGTCGTTACGTCGCGCATGCGCGAAAATGGGAGTCCATCTAATAACACTGGTGTCTGGTGTCATCGTCGTCGCCAGTCGATTACGAACAAACGCGTCTTGCTCGCTCATTTAATAATCACGAATCGAAGATGCTGTGGTTCTTTGAAAAGTCAACTTAGCACTATCGTATGTAATATACGGAAAGCGGCCGCCGGGCGTAGTGTTCGTCGTAATAATTCTGACGCAAGCAACTCGGAAGAGACACCGGCCAGGAAGAGAACTTGCTCGCGTCCGAGAAGGATCTCCACATTTCTCCCACTTCGTGGGAGGCACGACAGGTCGTCGTTATGGCAAATTCGCGATAAGCATTGTAAGACGGATGTTCTTTCTTTCTCCCCCTTTCCCTTCAGGCAGTTTAAGATCGCCTCTCTTATCTTTTGCCGCGAACAAGAACCAAGAACACGAGAGTCCTCCGTACATCTCTCACGCGAAGATGACGTATATCACAGTGATATTAATATCCGTACATCTGTCGTAGTGATATTAATGTTCGCGTCTGATACAATTTCTAAAACAGAGCAATTGTTTAAACTTGTGAAGCGTCTTTCATATTTTTTTTTTCTTACTACTATTCTGCTTTTAATAATTTGGCTTTTTTGATAATTATTTTGTATCATGCATTCATACAAATAAATGATCCGATATATAATAGCTGCTATTTTGTAGTTTGAAATATTTATGTATTTTTTATTTTATGCATTATATATATTAAATGTAGATATATATGTGACAAGAGAATCATAGTTCACATGAAATACACTCGAAAAAAAAAAAAAAAAAGAAAGAAAAAGAAAAAAACATTGTAAATATAAGTTCTTGATATTGCAAATTTCTTTATAAATTAATATTATATTTGAATTGTGTATATATTTTATTATTTATACAAATTATTTATAATTATAACAGTCAATATAATTATATGTCTTAAGTTTTCTGCATAATAAACTTAATTTGATTAGTATATTTGCTCATTAGATACAATTATATTATTAAAAATAAAATGCAAATTTAAAATATTGAATATCGACAAATTTTCTAATTTTTATGCTATGTATAATACAGATCTTGTAACATAAAAAAAAAAAAGAATTACTTTTAATATTCTTCATAATAACGTATTTTTGATACAAATATCACGAATTTTCTTATTTTGTTTAAACTATTATAAAATGAGAATTTTATCGGGTAATATATCTCTCTTTTCAATAATTAATTATTAAGATAATTTGCAATACTGACAAGATATAATTACAGAGAACTTGCATCATAAAGAAACTACAAAGGAAGATATCATGGATACAATTTTTATGTGCGAAAATAGCAAAAATACAAAAGAACGTTCAAAACCTCAACAACTGGAAGATAAAACAGTCAATGATAATAATGCGATTGAAGAAGCCTTTCCGTGGTTACTAGAATTCAATAAAATTGTATGTTCATCTACAGGAAATAGGAGTTATCGACATCTCGAACGATTGCTTTTATTCTATACCCAGTGAGATCATCATTTACATTAGTTAACCAAAGCTAATATAATATTTCTTTATTAAATATATCTTTCATTGCTTTTTTACAAGTAGAAATTTCACATATATACAAGTTGGCAGTTGGATTTAGGAAAAATATACAAGATATGTAATATGATTTGTGATTACATATATTTCAGGAATGTTCTTTCTAGTGTGAAAGCAAGCAATGTTAAGTGTAGCGATGCAATTAATTTAAAAAACAATATTAATAATATATTAATATTCTTTCACTTATATTGGCTTGATATAAAACAGGTACTATATGTTTTAATTATTCTTTATTATTTTTGTAAAATTGGTATAAAAGTTATATGATGTAATTATTATTTTTATTCAGGAGATAGCTGATCATAGTTTATATTTAAATAAAATGTCAGCGTTATTAAGTGTATATATAGATATGGAAACTTCCAGACAAGAAATTGTAAAGATTTTTGCAGCGTTGTATATATACTTAAGTAAGTATTAACAAAAAACTGATTTCTTATACAAACCAATTATGCCGATATTATGCTTATTGTACCTAACATTAAATTGCTTACAGCTTCAGGGTATTACTTAGAATTAAACATATGACGGAAAAATATACACAAATTTATAATCATATATTTATGTATGTAAATATTTCCTTTAACACATTACATTACAATAAACAAATTTGTTTATTAATTATATAAGATATTAAAGTAATGTAGGACATCATATTTACTACACAGGAAGAGCTTCTCTAATCTCAAGATAAAAACGACGTCTTTAACCGATGTAGCTTATATCCGATATTTGTTCGCCTTTAAAATGTGGAAAAAAATGGAAAAACTTTCTGATAAAAAAGAAGAAATTGACAAATTAGCTCTAATGCTGCTAGGACCGCGTATGCCAAAATTGCGAGATGAATTATTAAAATTTGTGCCTAGACCACCGAAGATTCAGAAGAATGAAACACTATGGTTATTAAGATCAAATTTATTTGAAATGCATAAACATTTCCTACTATTTGAAGATGAAATGGATAAACATTTTCTACTACTTGAAGATAAAATGGATAAATATTCCCTACTACTTGAAGACAAAATTGATAATTGTGCAGATTTACAATGTACCAAAGTGGTTTCTGTTGATCAGAACTGTTTAAAATCTCAGGTAATGTAATTCAATTAAAATTTCTTTATTTTGAATATAAAAAAGGGAATAGGACTAATAAAAGCCGAGCGCAGTAAATAAATGCATTTATCTTGTATAAAAACAGTTTCTGAAGATGGTTCAAAGGACGAACTGAAACATTCACTATTATTAAAGAGAGTTTGTACACTCGGCTCTTATTAGCTGTATTTCCTCCAATTGTTTTATATTCAGTATATCAGAGCATTTTTGGTTTTTACTTCTTGATTTTGTTTCAAGTTATTTGTATGTGTAAATTTTTGCATTTGTTATACAATAATAATGTAGATACATGAAATAATACTTTTTCAGAAACAGATGAGTTTGTTACATCGGAGCAATTCTAACAGGAGCATTCTTACATCTAATCGAGAAGTAAATAAAGACTATTTAAATGGTTTGCAGAACGATAATATGCCACTAGGTATTAACCGAAATAAATCTTTAAAACAAACTCATTTACAAAAAAAGAAAAGGAGTGGCCTTAAATCATTGAAAGAGATAAGAGAAAAATCAGGGGAACCTCAGGTTATTGATTTAACTGGAGACGATGAAAGCGTTCCTTGCAAAATAAAAAAAAGTTCTAATAGAGACAGCAAAAGCACAGTCGAAAAAGTTTGTCTGGAGCATAAACCTATTCCTAACAACAAAATGAGTAATAGTACAGAAAGTTATACTTCAATTAGCAACAGGCCTTCATTAAATAATATCTACCATGAAAATCATCAAAAAAGTGGACATTTAAATGTAATAAAGAATCAAGGGAATAATATGTATCCAGAATTTGTGAAAGAGAATGAGACACAATTTGATTATAATTCGCATTACATAAAGTCGTCAATGTTTGTTGATCAGGATATTAAAGAGTTCAACGTTACAACAAATGTGTTGAAAGAAAGTAAACCAGAAAATCATCATGCTATATCATCACATATGACATATATGACAGGAAATGCAACAGACTTATACAACAATATAATGACGCAAAATAAGGAGACATTAACTTCTCAGGAAGAAAGTGTCATACCTTTATTGAAGGACATAATACCTTTATTGAAGCTGTGCCAAAATGATATTGTGGATCAGCATTCTTTCAAGCAGGAAATACCAATAAGCACGAATTGTAATACAACACAAAAATCATACAACATATGTTGGGAAACGATGCCACGTGATATTAAATATCTTAGAATACAAAAATTGAAATCTATAAACAATCATAATTCACAAGTTACAGATTATTTTATTACATGTCATCAAGGTAACAAATATGAAGATTGTTGTACGAAAAGTGATTGTAAACCATTTGTGTTTCCTAACAATAATGATAGTACCGCACAAGAACATAATACATTTACTGATAATAAGAATGATGTCAAACTATCTTGCAACACAAAAATAATTTACATCATTTTACCCAAATATAATTTACATCAATTACACAAATATAATTTGCTAACAAATATAAGCGATTGTAACGCACACTACGTTGCGCATCATATTGATGATATCGTTATCATGACGTGTTGTGACATGCACGCTGAAAAAATAATGCAATGTCTATATAATTCTAATGACATGTATACTACATTCACCAAAGATCAAATTGTAGGGTCGTCACTAAATGATCAGAATGTCAATCTTGATAATAAAAGAAAATATGATTATGGACATGGTTCCAAACATTCCGAAACTACGATAACTACAATAAAAACACAACAAGAAAGAAGCGATTGCGATACTTCGATGTCAAATGATCGATTACATCTTTCTGAACGTTTTCTTTCTAATATAGATTTTATAGATATGGATTCAAAAGAAGCTAATGAAATAATGAAGAATTGTATAAACGATTCTGAAAATATCAGTTTCCTGCACAACCCAATTGAAATTTTGGAAAGTCTGGAAAACATTGTGTCGAAAGAAACCACCGACTTTCTCCTATCTTCGAAACAGTCTCCATTTGAATTAGATAATGTACATACAAATACATTTTTAAGGGAAAAGGACATTTTATGCAATAATCAAAACAATGCTATTAATAGTAATGTAAATCCGATAGCCTTCCATTTGAATAATATAACAACCGATAACACCTTTCTGTGATTATCAGTCAAATCTGATAAGTTTAATATGTTAGTAAATCACACAATAAGTTTCAATCCAATGTTTTGTAATATTAACTAATTCAAATATCGCTCTTTCAGGTTTCAAGGAGCCATGGAATTTCGCCGTAATCAAGCGTTTTTATGTTTGCGAGAGAGATATTGAAGGCTTTTTCATATCCCGAGGAGAGAATAGGCTAAACCAATCTTTGAATGAATTTTGCGCTTCCAAGAATATGTCTCATCAAATTTACTTACAAATTATTTAACGTCACAAAGCAAAAAGATTCTGCCTCAACATTATACATAAAATATATATTTTCATCCTCGGATAGTCCTGATGGCCTTTCAATTAAGTTCTAATAAGATGGTTAATTCAAAATTCAAGATCATATAGTCTGTAAAGACCAAACTAAAGAGCAAGCTGTCGCACACAGATGTAATAAGTTATTATTTATTAAAGAAGCACACATCCACTTCATCTGTTGAAGAAAGGGATTGTAACAACAGTTTTAACAAAACGTTCTGATGGTTACCAAAAAGTTTGTCTTGAAAAATTTCAAGTCTCCTGAGAAATGGACTCTAAATCAATTCTCTAAAAAATTTTCCACTTCTGAATATATTCACTGAGAACTGCCAATAAATCGCTTAATATCGTATGAAGAATATTCTTGCTTGGAACATCACACGCATATAGAATATGATATATAACTGAGAAACCATAGACCATAAGTTAATAAATATCACTAAGAAGTAGACTCAGATGTATTGAATTATCGCCTACTGAAGAAACACCTGAGAAGAGAAAGAGAATCGCACATCTACGATTTTGCTTCTTCTAGATGCTAGCAAGGTTGTCTATTAAATAAATCAGTATGATGCTCAAAAAAGATTTTTCTTTCTGCAATGTGAAAGGTAATTTAATTATAAGTCCTTAATATTATAATATATTTCATTATTATATATTGTTTACATATTTATAAAATTTGTAACATCAAAGAAGAGTATCAAGAACATCTCTGAAGAACATCTCTTATCATCTTTTTGTATCACAAAAAATATACTTTAAAAATCTTATCATATAGAGAAACTTAGCTACAAAATTATGAAGAATTTTCTAAAATGTCAATATTTATATTTAATATTATTTGTTGAATTACACAAATAATCACGTTAAATAATATAATGATAATACATATTAAAAATTAAATATAAAACTATAATGATTATAATAATATATAAAACAAATGTAAAATATCTAAAACGTTATCTTATTGAACAAATTAAATTTTATTTATGTTTAAGAAATAAGAATTTTTAATGTGCCAAGATTTGTATTTTGTACAGGAAGCAATCTTCACATTTAGTATGTATAGACATTGTTTTGTGATACTTGAAACGTGATATTTGTTTATTACATTTGTATTATATCACATACACATTTCACTAAATTATTATGAGATTTTTAAATTATTTGTCTAAAGATAATATAAATTATAATTTTAATTGTATGGATAAGAGAGAAACGCATATTTTTGAACATAAAATGTATGTATATGAGGATGCAACACACATAATTATAAATTCAATATGTGTTGTATCCATTAAAAATCTCATATAGATATTAAGTAATATTTTATTTTATTTTATTTTTGATAATCACATCACATATGTCATTCTACGATTTGATATGAATTTATATAATATTTATTATTAATTTTTTATTTTATTTACAGAATTTGTATATAGAAGAAAAAGAAAAATAATGCAGTGGGTGAGTGTAACCTATATTAGATTATATAAAATGTCTCATTCTAAAATTCTGCTATCTCTTCATAGATGAATGATTTAGATTTGCAAAAACATCTTTAAAGTGAATATTGACATAAATATATTAAAGAGAATCTAAAAAAGAGAGAGAGAGAGAGAGAAAGAGACAATCGTAAAAAGTTAGTTTTGGAATACATAATAAATGTTTTAATTATATCTTCATAAATATATTGGTATTTACAATTAGTACTATCAAGCCTCCATCTAGACACTAGATTCTTTTTTAGAGATAGCGAGTTTTGGTGTGAGGACTCATATGTGTTACAGCCTTTTGCGGTCTGAACTTTTTAATGAAAATATATATTTCAAATTCGAATTATTCTTATAGTGGGAGTATATTTAAAGAGAAAAGAATTATTCTATATTTAAAACATTTTTAGATATGCTTATAAATAAAAGATATATAAATATATCTATCCAGGATATTTTCTTTGGATTTTATTGTGAATTAGGATATTTAATGTAAATGATTGTATATAACAGAATCGTCGACCGCAAAGGCCTAAAGGTAATAAAAAAATTATGTTTACTACTTGCATTTATTACAGTGTGATCGTTTATAATCCTGAAGAAGTCCACAATTTTTAACTAGTTGCATAATGCAAGGTCTCATAACTTGACGATTGAAATAAAATTTGAACATACTGATGAGATACTGAAAATCACTATCAACATCTTGATAGCTCCCAGGTTATTAATATTGAGTGTGTGTGTATATATGTGTATATATATATATATATATATATATATATATATATATATATA